GTTTGTACGTAGATTCATAGACCAATATCGTCTTACCAAAGAGGCCTTTGTAATTGTGCTGAATGTCATTGAATACCAGTTAGATAGACTGTCTATCCCACATATGCTACAACTTGCAGCCACACTATGCTTTTAGGAAGAAGAAAGCTGGACTCAAATATCTAATTAGCGCAATCTACAATATCTGAAGTTATAACAGAAATGCTAACGGCTTTTGAACGTTTGAGTTGTCCACGTTGGATCATTTTATGACAATGGAAAACGGAGAGCTCGAAGCCATTTTCACATCAAGTACCGTATTCCAGGCATTGCTGGCTGTAAAATCCATTGTTCATGACTTAAATTTTTATTAAATTTCGACATGAAAAAAATTTGCACACAATTCTGTCAACGAATAACTGATCGGTTTACTTCTGATATTTAAACCGATAAATCGGTTTCTCGAACACCTAAAACCGACACAAATTCTGTTTCGAAAACAAAACCGGTATGCAAATCAATAATTGAAATCTGTAACCCGTTCAACAGAATTATGTCGGTTCCAATTCTGATTCCGACAACAATCTGTTTCTGTAACACTCCTGAATTTGATCCTCCTCAAACAATTGTCTGGTGCTGCCACATGTCACTTAGCTCATGCTGCCAATGCTTTATTAGAATTATGAAATGCAGTGTGAAGTGTAACCGTCCATCCTGTAATATCTTAATTCGCGCGCAGCTTCTTCACGATTTCGAATAGCGCTAAATTTTTCTGGTAGTGGTTTAATTTTTCTGTTTGTAATGTAATGATGATGATTTAGCGGCGTGAATATAAAGCCCGTAGTCTTCTAAGCGCTGGAAAATTATGAGATGATTGAGGCGTTTTTGATCGTAGTTTCAGGCGACCAACCCAAAAGGAGAGATTATCGTAGTGTCTTGAATATCGCTTTCAGCTAATGCTATTTGATTAAATGCTCTGACGATATCTATAGTAGGAATTACAGATTTTCCATAAAGACTTGAACCAAAATTTTCTAAATAACGAACGGGTTAGCGGCCAGACACTGTACGAGCATTTTAACGACGATGTTGTCCACATGGCCTTGATTCGACTGACTTTTTCGGCACCAAGTGTAATGGTAACGATCATGGACTGGCTGATGGTCCAGCGATTCCCATTTTTGACATTTTGCGATTCGCGATTTTCAATTTGTGTTGAGCTAGACGCCTTGCTTTACATGAAACCGGAGTTGTTTTCATATGATGTACGTGGATTGTTTTGCTTTTCTGGTCGAGTCATAGACGAAAATTTTCGTAATAAAGCTATATTTGTTGGCTGTCCTTCAATTGATTGATGAAATTTGGGGAGTTTTGCGGAGCAATCCCTCTTTACCTATTCCTGATTTCTCGTCACTAATGCGGTGTAGTTTAAGGTCGACAAAGAAACCGAAAATTCTTAAAAAATCGACGCCAGTTATCGGGTTCGTTACATCGGCTATGATAAATCGCCATTAAAATCGCGTCACAGCCCAAAGTTCAGCGTGAGGATGTGGTAACTATAGGTTTCATAAGGTGAATCTGCTGCTGAATATAACTGATAACCTAGCGGTCCTTTCGTAAGCCATTCGAAATAAAACACCTCGCGTTTCGAATTTAATTGTACAAAAATTTATTTTGCAAAATTTATCAAAGTTTTAATGTGTTTTTACGTCAAAGTCTTTTTGTATAAATGTTTCTATTTATTATTTTTACAAAACTTATAAGAACTTTAATTGAGTACGCGGAAAAGTGAATTTTTTCTGTACAGATTTATTTTATTATGTATATATATAGATACATATATATTTTAATAGATTTAAGTTTAAATATTATCGCCCTGAGCGCGATTGCCGATAGTAGGTAAAAGATCTCGGTTGTTTGCCCGATAAGCTCGGCTTGTATAGGCCACAAGCGTATTAGGGTGCGCACAAAAAGCATGGATGTGACAATGGTCACGCACACGCTTAACCACCGGTCAACAAGAAAAAAACGTTGGGCGCCTTTACCGAACCTTTTATGATAGTGGCAGTTACCAACTTCTGACTGACGTGTGCGACCATGTGAAGAGTTACGATTCGTGGGTTCCTGATTTTAAGCTGTAGCTCAGCTATTTCTTATCGTAGGCAATCTTCTTCCGAAACCGCAGCTATAGAGTTTTAAATGGTAAGCATCACTTCGTGTATTTTGTCTGCTAAAAGAGGTGGTGCGCGTACTGGAACATTCCCTGGAATGATTGTCGACGAAGCTGGCGATGAAATGACATTTGCTTATGTTGGCATGTAAAAAATTGGATACATGAGAACCGCCGTTTTCATAGGTGTTTACGTGGGACTCACCATGTTTCGTGCTGTATTTTGTAGGGGGAAGGCTGTTTTGATGATCCGAAAATAACACGTAACATCTGTAGTTGGTAACGAAATATATTCGCGAGGTAATAGAACTTAGCCCAATAATACTTTAAAAATGAAGAATGTTGGCAAAACATGTTTGTTGGCGCAGATGCTCACGGAATAAAATTTTGTTCGAAAAAAATTAAATAATCAATTCCACAATTTGTCAGTATAAACACTGACGTCGCCTACTAAGAAATATTTTATTTAATAACGAGAAAATCAATAATTTTTAATTGAAGCCAAAATTAAATTAGTGAGCTACCCATAATTGAGTGACTGTCCGTATGTATATGGAGAAGTTGCCACATATATGGCGTTATCCATTTCATGGTTCCAAAAATACCGGCATATTTATTGGCATCTGTCAAAATCAGTTGTCAAACCAAACAGATTTTGTTTTAATCAAAGATCAGATATTATTGGAAATGGATCGCTTAACAACCACATAACGCGTAAAAATTGTTAAAACGAACTACATAAATGGTGATTCAAACATAGCAACGTTTGCTTGTTTAAACAAATTTGACGAGCCTGGATCGGTTACGGATATTATGAGTCCTCGGCATCATCATTTTGCTCACTCCACCTAATATATCGCAACTGTTAGCAAAAATGTATCTGAACATCCGAATGTTTCTACTTCTCGACGTTCTCAAAAGCAAAGATTTTCATAAGATATATTATGACGTATTTTACACTTGGACCTATATTCATATCGAATCCAGCACACACCAATTGATTGAAGCTCCGAGATTCCACTAACAATTGAAGAAAGGCAATTGCACCCAAAAACCACTTACTGTCTGGTGCGCCTTTGGCTACCGAAGAGGGATTGACCCGCAATTGAAGAACAGAAGTTGGACAATATGTGATGTTAACAAGATGGTGCCACATGCCACAAAACACGAACGAATATGGCTTTATTGAGAGAGAAATTTCCCAGTCATATAATTTCACGTCTTTGCAAGGTCAATGATTACCATTGATTACTACTCGAAAGATCGTGCTTATGCGGATAAACCTTTAAATTAATTAAATTAAGCACGTGAAATCCAACATTCGTTAAGTTAGGGCTAATGTACTGCATAATAGGTTACCTCAAACGCAAGAAGACAGTGTGTTTCACATACGAGTTTAATGACAACGTTCAAACATTATAGCAAATAGCGCTAAAAATGAAAGGAATTTTATACTGGAGAGTAATTTAAGAGTATTCTCCTACATCTATGCTCACAGTTAACGAGCATAACGTTATCTACTTCTATGTTGCCGTCGCGATTATTTAAACCGACAGTTACTGGAAGCCGAACCTCCACCAAGGTACATTATGAAGGGAGTACTCGACTACAACGATTCAATACAGGCAATTTAGGCAAGAACCACTGGTTAGGAGGTAAGCCTTCGGGCTCTAAGCGCCATTTGCCGAGAGCTTGTCCACATCTTTGTGAATTTTCTTCGTGTTATTGCCGTATACACAATCCAACAGCCGCCAGATATTGTAGTCGAATAAATCCCTAAAGTATGTCGTGCATGCAATGAAGCCCGCACGACACTAACCACCTCTATCATAGCTCTATCGTAGCAACAACAACCACAATGTGGATAATTTCTTTTGAAAAATATTATATTTATAATTTTTTAGTAAACTATTAATCGCAATTATATATATATATAATTTTGAAGCTTATTTAAAGTTTCCCATAACTATTATCTAATTCATCTCAAATTACCTCATGAGCTGTTCAATGCGTTGTTCACAATAGCACAGTTTTTTCATTTAGTTTTAGGAAAGTCAATTTATAGCATAATATGTGCTGAATCCGAATAAATGCTTCACGTACAGTTCGCTTTATTGTTATAATACACAGTAAATGGCAAATAGTTTTCAGTTAAGCAAGAGCATATACTGAGTAACTATGTCATTGCGTAATAAGTCCGCTTAAGAAACTATTCCAAAACGTAAAAGTATTTTGTCCACTTGAGCAAAATAGTTGTTACATAATAATTTATATAAGTATTTTATTGCAGTATTTTTCGTAGCACTATATTATTTTTTGCTGGCAGATAAAATTTTGTAAATCTAAATTCACAACACACATTCTGATTTAATTTAAGAAATGAACTACTTTCATATTGGCATAACCTCTGCACTAACATTCATCTCGTTACCATTTTAGTGGTCTAGTAAAAAAAAAAGTAAATATATCCATATTACTCTATACATAAATAAATTTATCTTATACTTATAAACTTTACGTAATACCAAACACTTTAAGTGAGCCTTGAAGTAATAAGTAGATTTGACATTTTTAAACAAGTTGGTTAATTAAAAACTAAATCAAACATAATATTCCTTCTATGTCTTAAAAATACGAAAACAATTTCAGTAAATAAGAGATTAAATATACTTCTGTTTCACTTTAATAACATCTAGAGATCTATTGCTTTTGATTTATAAGCTTCCATCAATCAATTGTGTATGACATAATTTGTCGTAGTACCTTGCTCTCAATCAATTATACTCGTTACATAAAAAAATTACATAAACTGTATTTTTTGTTGAATACCAAAAAAAACTGCAACAATTTATACCTCTAATGTTTGACTTATTTATTTTCATGTCTTGGCTAGTTAGCGCACTCAGATATTTAGGGACTGGGCGAGTTCCAAAAGGTAAAAATATTTAATTTTGCTTGCAAAAATACTTAGCGAGCTCTGACATTTTGGAACGCTTCTCGTGCAAATATTAAATGTTGCTTTTCGGTGAATCGGCTCAAATATAATACAGATGAAAAAAATATCTAATATAATGTTTAAAAAATAATAAATACTTGCGCTTCGACGTCGGCCATTGTAAAATAAAGCATCACAAATTTTAACTATTGCCAGTTTGCTTTTGTTTGCGAATCTATAAATTGACCGTTGCATTTTGGAACATGATGCATAGTCAAAGTTTGTTCAGTTACATTTAGGACTGCGTGGCAATGCATGGTTGCCAACATGTTTATTAATATAATTTTTCTTACAATAATTAAGCCTAATTTTGATGTCGTTATATAATGGTATAAATTATGTATGGAACCGTATATTAGTCGTTCATTGTTTTCGGAATAGAATAATAAAAATAAAAAAATATTACAACCGCTCTCAAAAGATTTGTTTCAGTTCGCAGTGCACTTTTCAATTTTCCATAAGAATAACTCAAAAATCACTTTTCCGTTTTTATAACCGACGAATGACACATTATACTGAAATGCTTCTGTTAAAAAATAGAAACAAAAGCATAGATTATAATGTTTTGAGTGAATTTTACCACATTAATTTCCGTTACGTAGCAAAAAATAATTCGTCAATAAATTGTATAATCTATGATTTATGCACGATTTCTGAATAAACAATATTTTTTTCTTTTATCCTTATAGAAAATGGAGAAATGGGCAGCCTTAATACTTATAATGAGGTCTCAAATATATTATTATTTGAAATTCCATAATATATATATATATATGTATGTATGCACTCGTATACATATACATATATATATATATAATATTATAATACTATTAAACGGCACCTACATGTCCTAATATTAATTATAAAAATATAATATAGAAAGAAATATATATTTCTTCCTCTCATGATATATAATTTCATTTACTTTTAAACGAAAAAACAACGTCCTTATATAAAATAACTTAGATGTATAATTTAGACATTGGTGTATTAATATCTAGGTGTTAATTTCAAGTCGGAAATTTTTTTGTATATACTAGTAGGCATGTAAGCACATAATTATATAAAACTATTATGCAAATGAAGTTTTTTTATATTTTCGCCTGTCTTGTGAATAGTAAAGAGAATCATTTTATATCACTTATATTTTCATAACATTGAATAGACCAAATGTTGCTGATTATCTAACTTGTTGCAAATTTAAAATAGATATACAATAAAATAATAACCTAGTCTTGAAGAATTTAAAATCTGCGCAGCAGCTAATTAATTGTACGTGTTTCAACTCTTCCTTAGACCAGTGTCAGAAATTAATATGTATAATTTTAATAAAAAACATGATCATTTTAGTTATTTCTCACATACACTTCTAATGTGTGTAAATTTTTATGCTAGTATACGCATAGCATAAGCGTTTAAATTGCAAGCAGGACAAGTAGAGTCACCTAACTCACAAATGCGATTAGCACAGTCCATACAGAACATATTATGACCACATTTAGCTAAAGTAGGAGTTATTTCTTTCTTCTTACATAAAAAGCAATCACGCCGTTGAATCTGGGAATTCTCAGATTGGAAACTTGGATGTTGCAGAAAATGTTTGTAATTGTTTGTTTCAAGTTGTAATTCATTTAAACGATTTTGATTACCGCTATTTTGATGAGTATGAGCAGAAATTTCACCTAAAAGTGAATCAGTCGGACTTATTGAAGTCGATGGTGAACAATGAGATCCTGTTAACGTCGTTAATGATGCGGGCAAATTCCAAATACTTGGTGAATCTCCAATCCCTTCATCCATATCAAGGGAATCACCCAAATTTTTCCAGATATTAATAAGTTCTGGTCGACTGCCACAGCCACTGTTATTAGCACTTTTTGAGGACGTAGTTGAGGAAGCCGAAGAACAAGATCGTGCCATTCCACTACAGGCATTACTGTTGTGCGTAGTGGGGTTACCATTCTTTATATTTGACGGAACAACTGCACTTGTGATACTTGCACATGCAGTACTTTGAGCGTTGTATACAGGTGTCAAATTGTTCGAAAAGCTTATTGTTTGCATATAAGGGCCAACATTGTCAACAAAACTCGTCTGATTAGCTTGCAAGGGAGATAGTGAGGGTGATGGTAGCAACTGATTGTTTATTATGGATTTCGATGGTGGGTATAAGTTCTGTTGATGTTGTAGTCGAGTATTATGAGATTGCAGTTCTAAATCAGTAAGCAAGTCCGACGCAGGGCTACTGGCTTCCTTCAAATTGCAATTGTTTATTAAACCACTTACATAATCTGAGAATTGACGTGTCGAGTCTAAATTTTGCAATAAAATGTTGTCTAAATTTGGAAGGCTGTGAGGTTTCATTTTAACAGAACTACTTTTCCTAAACTCAGTATTGAAATTCAATTTATCAATATTACCCAGGAGCTCCAAATCTTGTATGTCCATCGCTTTGTTCGCTATTTTCAAGCTGCCATCTCCACACTCAAAACTTGTTCGGCCGCTATCAGTTTTATACAAAGACACTAGAATATCCGAATCTGTTGAGGGGTCATTTAGAATCTGGCTTAAAACATTGAAGCTATGAGCTGTTAATGTGTCATTTGAGGAATCAGATAAAAGAACTGAACTATTATTGCTACCACTATTAGGAGGCAAATTACCAGTTCGAAGTGCTATATGAGCTTCAATTTGTTTCCGGGCTGACTGAACGTTATCAGGTAAACCAGATACTTCAAATATAGGTTCCTTCTCACGCGACGGTGTAACAATATAGGTATGTGTTTGATGCTGAATGTGTTTTATAGTTGCGCCTTTGGGTCCAACAACCAATCCAACCACTCGATATGGCACACGAACTTGTATAGTAACTTGTCCGGGCAGAGAAGGTGGGAACGAATGTATTTTGCCAATATTGTTGGCTCCACAATTGTTTCCGTGAAATGTTCCACTCATATTGGCATCAAAAAATGGTTTTCTTGTGGCACGTATTAAACTAAAATGCTCTGCCGCCGAGAGTATTTCACGCTTAGCTTTAGCAACGTCCTCCTTACGACCGGTCACTACAAAAACAGGTTCTTCTCCACGAACAGGTGTTTTTATATATGTGTTGGTTTTCGCACGGAGGGCTTTAATTTTACAGCCTGAAATATATAGAAGCATTCAATGTAATATATTTATTATTAATTATTTTATATAAATTAAAAAATCGTCCAATAAAAATTCAAGTACAAAAGCTTTTTAACAAAAAAATGAAGGTCTACGAAAGAACTGAGAAACGAAATACAATAATTGTTTTCGCAACAGCCTTTACAAAGTCGTATTTATATAGAATATAGTAATGGAAAATAGTTCGGAAGGCTTTTTTTAAAGGTGACTCTATGACCCATCCATTCAGCTCTTGATATAAGAAACTGGTTGATGTATAATTACCCAAACGATATCGAAAACCACATGTATTTGCGGTCGAAAAAAAATTAACAATATAGAAGTTGAGGATGGAGCAATGTGTAGAGGTTCACGTAACTTATAAAAGTTTTTGAATGCCATTCAGCAGGAGCAAAAATTCATTTACATATGGTCCAAGCAGCTCATGACCCTGTCTTAAGCCAAGTGTTCTGTGGCTAGTCAGCAAATATCCGATTAGAGACGAGCTAAAGTGAGAAAGCGAATTAGCTGTATTTGTGCGTAGGATTTGTGTCCTACTACAGGAAAAAGTAATCCAGTAAAAGCAACAAAATGCCTCGGATGAGAACTCTGCAAATTTTTAAAGATAACCAGCCTCAGCAATGTCCGGTCTCTTAATTGGAGAGGCATCGCTGCCTACTTCGTTGATGTCCTCGAAGGAATAAATGCAGACATCACCGCAGTTCAAGATATGCGATGAACGGAAACGAGTAGATCCTTACTTACTTACTACAGTGGTCATATAAAGAAGCACAAACTCGTTGTTGGAAGTGTGGTGGAAGAGAGAGTCCGTGGCCACGAACTGGCATTCATTACGATGGCTTAACGTCTCACCATAATAAACATAAAAACAATATTATTCAATACGTCGCGGATTTCCGCAAATGCCTCGACGAAAGAGAAGGGCGACCTAGTGATTCAGTACTTTTATATGCTGAGTTTTTTGTGAAATATCCGATTTTTTCACTTTTTCTCTTTTATGATTGAATACGTTGCAATATTATATCTTGTGTAGTCTTAGTCTACTACAATACATAATCTAATGTTATTCAGTCAGTCATTATTTTTCTCTTAGTTAGTTTTTTTGCCTTATACAAAGTTTTTGTAGTATGTCGATATTTGATTAAATAATATACCGCATATAATATGCATACTCTTTCATTTTGTTTGTATTCAGAAGATAAAGGGAAACAAAACAACTTGCATATATGTTAGTTTTGACCGAAATCGTATGAGTAACCCAGGGTATTGATTTATATTTCCTTTGACTCAAGATCATTTTCTTTTGCTTCTCATTATAACCTTGCAAGTAGATCGAGTTTTTTATAGTTTTTCATAACCGCTGAAGCGGTTTTCTGCCGAGTTCATCACCCGATTTGTGGTTTTGCGTCATGATGTTTTTCCAACAATTGGAGGAACCTACAGTTCATAGTAAGCCGCCTCCGAACGGCTGATAGATATTTATGAGGAGCTCTATTTCATGTCCGAAATACACTCGGAAGGGTTAAAACTCCCTGCCGAGGGGCGACGGCAATTAAAAAATTTAGCTTGTTTTTTATTTTTTTATTTAAATTAATTGTCTATAACTTTTGAATGTTAGTACATCAGGACCCCTACTACGTATTGCTATTCGAAAAACAATTTGTTCGAATTTTAATAAATGATATTACGTAATTCTATAATAAGCCCAAAACACAATAGGGCAGTGGCCATTTTCGAAATGAGCTGTTATTTTAGGAAACCTACTGTACAACGAAGCAACACACAATAGAGCAGTGGCAGCTGGCAGTACTACTCAGCTTAACCCTAATTCTAAACTCACTGCCACTGCGTTTATTGCAGAAAACTTCACGTGTTGAATTTGACACGGCAGCTTACTTCTGTTTGAGTTATTTATTTACAATTTGATCTGTAAGTCCGAGTTTACACGGCGATACTTTTTGTCGGAGAAACACGCGATTTTAGGGAAGGGGGCGACGAAGAAAGCGTTCGATACGTTTTGTGCTTCTATTCGTATCTGTAAATTTTGGAGTTCTTTTTTATTTTGTTTTTCACTTTGAACTGATTGTAGCTGTCTTAAATTTCAAACGAATAAATATTGTAAGTTTGAAAATTGAAATTTAGGATTTTACTACAATATTTATAAGTACATGCAAACTCATATGACAGGAGTTTGCAGATAAAGTTAATGAATGCAAGAAATATTAGAATAGATAGAAGAAATACTTGGAATTCACTCTGATGATAGCGAAAAGGACGAGTTATGTAATTAGATTACACCTTAATCAAATGTAAAAATATAAAACAAGTAGAAAAATAAAAGCTGCAACTGCTTATTTGAAAAACTGCTACAGCGCTATTGTATTTTTGGCTATAGATTTTCAATTCGAGTGCACAGAAATTCACCTACGGCAGCGGGTTTCATTTAAAAACGGTAAATATCAAAAAATTAACAAGCGGTACGGTTGGAAGATGTATGTTCATAACGGCATCTTCTGTTTTTTTTAATAAAGACATTTTTTTAGGAAGGATAAAGCAAAGAACGCACATACCAAAAAAATAATAGTTTTGCATCTTGCTATTCATATGCTGGCATTTTAGACACGATCAGCGCAAATACAAATACTTTCGCGGGAATTCTCCCTTGTGAATTTTGAAACTTCCCTCCAATTCCTTCCTCCAATTCTTAATTAACAGGGGGATGGATTTTGTCGGAGAAGGATGTTTTGTTTTTCGAAATCAACTGATTAGTGTGAGTGTGTGTTATTGAAATTTAATATTTATATATATTTGGCGCTTTGTAGCCGCTGAAGCGATTTTCCGCCCAACTCCTCCTCCAATTTGTGGCTTTGCGCCTTGATGTTTTTCCAACAAATGGAGGACCTACGGTTATATACTATGCCGGCTCGAACGGCTGATGGTTTTTTTATGAGGAGCTTTATTTCATATCAGAAGTACACTCGGAGGGGTTATTATTCCCTGCCGAGTGGCGAGAAATTTTTTTTATTTTTTTTATTTAAATTAATTTTCTATATTTCCGGCTACCCCGGATGCTAATTCAATAAGAATCGATAAAAAATAAATCAAAACTATGGATGCTGTGTTTGCTATTGAAGAAAGAAAGGCAAGAAATTAAAGCGCAGAGAGTTATAAAATGGAAAGTACGGCATATGATGAGTCCTTACTCTTTCTTTGAATTTCTTAATTGGTTTTAATAAGTTTTGTATCATAGATTTGTTGAATGTTGAATTCGTATACTCGTACTCACATCCTTCTGTATTAATATGCCTTCCTCCTCGAAGTTAAAGCTGGTTTGCTTTGCTGTGGTAGTCTCAGTCGGGAATTTCTTTTTTTTTTGTGTTACCGTTGTATGAAACGAAAGCGTTTGAGGTTGATGCGGTAAATGTACGGCATTACTGCTGGTTGGCAACTCCGCATCCAAATCTCCATTCTCTTCAACCTGGGCAAATATGAACCTCGTTTAAATAGGTCCCCTGCTACTGCAACCCGAACCCGAAAAACTCGCACACAACTCCTTAGTAAAAAAAAAATCTCGCAGAGTTATGCAATAATCCGATTTTTTTTTTTGCATTGGTGATGCAAACTTTTTGCACTGCGAAGGGTTCCACGCTCCCGAAACTTGTTTATGATGATTTCTAATTACATTTAACACAACTTATGTCACATTTTATCTTTCAGGATCCACTTAGCTGACTGAGTCCCGAACTGTATTCGCTGTACTTTAATTTTGTTTTCGTCGTCAAAACACAAACACCAAATCCATTGTTAAATATAATAATTTTCGTAAAGATTTTGAAACCTTTGTATAAAATACTAAATTTTTTATATATATTGACACTTCTCGCGTAATATATGTAATCTTCGCATATAGTGCTGCCACATTTTAAAATTACGTTGCGGAAGCGAATGCACAAGTGTTAGGTAGTGCCCTTATCATTTCGGATCGTATCTTGTTTTCAAATCGCAATTGGCCTAGGATATGAGCTCGAGCACTTCCGAATGGCAGAACGCAATGCTAACCACTCGGCTACCAAGGCAGAAGATAGAAGAAATATGGATAAGGATCCTATAAATGCTGTGGTAATACTATTGTCGATTAATTAACTAATTCATTTTTCTTTATTAATTTTTGTTAAGCGATTAGTTCGAGTAATTCAGATGTTTTTTTTTATTATTTAATTAGGCTCAGCTGATCTGGTTTGGTCATTGCAAATAAAACTAATTTATCCACTTTTTGCCCAATGTTTCGCTAAATATTTTAGCATCTTCAGGGGCTCCTGTTTATTTATATTGAATAAATAATACATGTTAGTGTATACATATATACAAACTAAATAATTAAAAAAAGAAAGTTATTTATTTAAAAAAGGTTAATTTAATGTGATATGCAATGCCATTAGCATATGTATTGTTACTATACTGGTTGGTAGCTAAATTGATACTAACTAATTATTTTTTTAAACATAACCAATATGCTGCGATGTTGTTTTTTCTGTCTTGTTCCTATTTTCCAAAATTCTTAGGCTCTCTAACGAGTATCTCATATTCTCTCTTTTTCCCCTGTCACTGCTTATTATTGTACATGTTGTGAAATTTTTTTGCTTTCTTATGTCGGCTTCATGTTATATTAAGCGCACTCCCAAAGCCTGTTTTGTTGTGGCCATAATTTTTCACTGAGAATTGGTATGTATGTAAAGCTGCAATATTTGTTGGGTATGTTTGTTGTATCTAGTTTTGATGTTTTGTTATTATTATTACGTTGTCTTAATCTTGTCTTCTGTATTAATTCGCGTATCAGCTTCTCAGGGTATTTGTTTTTTTTGAGCATATTATGTATTGTTTCTTTGTTGACGTCATGAAATTTTTGATGGCTTATGGTCAATATTTTGTTTATTATATTTTTCGCTAGGTTGATTTTGTATGTAATTGGTTGTGAAGAAAGAAAATTGAGTAGGCGTCGAGAAGATGTGGGTTTGGAGTACCAATCAAGAAAAATTTTGTTGTCTCTATGTATTGTTGTGTCTAGAAATGCAATAATTTTGTTTTTTTCTACTTCGATCGATCGTGAAGTAGAGTTTCTTATGATATTTGTTGAAAGAGTTAAGTATTATTTTAGTATCTTTGAATTTTATAATAGCAAAAATGTCATCTACGTATTTGGTTATGAATTTATGGTCAATGTTGTGGTGCATTTTTAGATCTGCAATCGTGTTTTCCAGAAGGTCATCCATTATGATGTCCGCAATTTTTGGAGAACGTGGGTTTCCCATTAGCATGCCAAACGTATGAACATAAAGTTTGTTGTTGTAGTTGTTGTCTTTGCGGCAAAACTCAAGGATTTGCTGAAATTTCTTTTTTGGTGTATTTGGTCCCTTTTTTGCAGTGACACAACATCAAAAGATACTAACATCTCTTCGTCACTAATGTTGATATCGGTTAATTTATCTTGTAACGAAGTTCTTTGGATGGGGTAAGCTCTGTGTACCCAGGGTGGCCAAAATAATAAATCGCTCTCTTTTCCGTTACAACAAAGTTTATCAGCTTGAATTGTTTTCTCTGCCCCACTTTACTCGTAAAGGTCGCGGAGGTGGGACACCCTCCGTTCGGTGAGGTAGAACCCCTCTTCCGAATATAATCTACTGTTGTCGTAAAAGTTGAGGATGTGGAGCAGAGTTTTCCAACTCTAATACTAATTGTGTATATATGTATGTACATTTTTTCTATAACATTTTTTATATATGCATATATATATGTATATAAAATTCATTGTACTTATATATGCTTGTATATAAAAATTCCATTTCGATAAAAATTTATGTACGGTATATTTGAGTATATGCGTGCTTATGTTTAGTTGTAAGAATTTTAACAATCCAAGATTTTGGGGTCCTTACAATCTTTCAACTCGAATGATTTTTTCACGTTGAATTTTTCGGGAATTAAATATTTCAGCGTTTCTCCGATGTACTTAGACATTTTGTGACTTGGGACCATGATGGAAGAAGCGAAGGGAGTGCTTTCTTTGTGCATTTTGGGTCAGGTATATAATATAGGTGCAGTGCTGCAGTGTAGGTGAGGAAGTGTTTCTCTCTCATGCGAAAAAATTTTGCCTTAAAAAGTTCGTCAATTATTTTGTTGTTTTTCTTCTGTAAAATATTTTTTGGATCCGTTCACATTGTTTTGTACGTGTTTTTGTCCTCTTGTAGTGTGTTCATCTTTTCTTTATACACTGTTTTGAACATTGCTACTGTTTTAATGCCTTTGTCCGCATCTGTTATCACAATGTTGTTGTGGGATTTCAGAAACGTTCTTGTTTTCTTGAAAGCTGCTGGAATGAACTATTTGGCAGAGTTCTGTTTTAAATTTCTTTTAAAGGAGACAATCCGGTTGCTAAGTTTGTTTTTGGCTGTTTCTTTGTCTATTTCGCTATCCATGTTTGCTACCATTTGTTCTATTTCTGCGATCATGTGTACTGCGGAGAAACTTTCCTTTGTTGTTGGTAGCCACTTCACTTTTTCGAAGGAAATTCGGGAATGTTGGTTTTGTTGACAAACCAGCTTTCGTTTTCGCAAATTCTCAATTTGAAATGAAAAAAAAAAAATGAAAATTTGCTCACTTTTCAACTTGTCTGGTTTGCTCTTTTTTTCTTTGCTCTTTAAATGTTTTATTTAGTGTACGGAAAATTCAGATAATGGAGCAGATTGACTGAAATGGACGCTTCTCACCTTGCAGCAGTAGTAGATCCAAGAATATTCAACAAAACTTTGCGAGGTACTACTGCATTTAGGTATTTAGAACATTCTGATTCGAACATTGGTTTTTTATTTTACTTAGTCGTATTTAAACATCAAAGGAGTATCGTCTGTGACGGACGCGTTCGTAGAGTTAATAAGCTGCATCACCACATCCTAGCACTATTGAAGACTTCTGCATATACGATTTCGTTTACAATACTTTGCAGATTTGTGAAAACGAGTTTAATGTTGTATTGTTTTTTCTTTTCATTGCCAAATAAATCATGAGCATGTCCCATTTAAAATATTTAAATAAAGATTGTATCTTTCTGTATCTGTTTGTATGTATGTTTATATGCAGGGTAAATTATTGTCAAAGCTGATTTCCTTCGTCAACAATGCTGTCGTTCATATGTGTTCGTCTTGTACGGCCTTCTGATGTTTTTTACGTCAATATTGTTTTCTTTGTGTTGCTCAGCTGTGTTCTGTTTATCCGACATTAATGAAAAAAATGCACAAGGAAACGAAAAGAGAATGGCGCACACATCTAAAAACGTTAACATCACATTTGTCATTTTGCTCATATGAAATGATGGGAAAATCGTTATACTAACTGACAACAATTTTACCTAAACCTTTTGTCGAATTTTTCCTTTAAACTATCTTTTTTCACTTCTTAAATTAAATGTATATCTTATCGTTGACATATCTATTCACATTCAAACTAAAATCGTATTAGCTTATTACAAAGGTTTTTCTCTGGAGATACTTGCGTAAACATTCATTTCATGGCTTCATTGGCCTTTACGCTTTGTTTTCTCTTTTTTTCATAACATCTCGTTTCATTTACATGCACTACTGGCCTAAAATATTTGTTCAAAAAGATGTTTCGAAATCCATTTTACTTATTAACAGACACATTTCAACATTTTGATAACAATATTTGTACTGTCTAAATTTTGTCGATCTCTTTGTCGGAAGATTGGTTGTGGCATCTCATTTTGAACGTGCAAGCGCTTAACAATGTAATCCAGTTGGGAATTCTCTATTGTATTACAATGGTTTTCGGATCGTAAAATAGCTTATGGATAATTTTAACGATTTCGCTGTCTTCTACATACAGTATAACGATTTCGGATCCCAAATAAGAATTACCGATAATATTAGCGCTATTCGCTATTCTCTTACATTGTATAACGATTTTCAGATCGCAAAGAAGACTTAGCGATATTTTTAACGATATTCGCTATTCTCTAAGCATGGTATAACGATTTTCGGATCGCAAGGAAGATTAAGCAGATTTTAACAATTTTAATATTCGGTATACTTATTTTAACGATATTCGCGCTCACTGTTGTCGTCAACACAAATCGCTAACTATACGAAGAATATCTTTAAATTGTTAGCAATATTGCACAATATTGTTATTTCATTATGGTAGAAATAAAGTAAAGTAAATTGGAAAATTGCATAAGTTTTATAAAAATGAAAATAAAATTGTACTCAAAAATAGCTTTTGAGCATTTGACATACGTTTTATCCCAAGGTGAGGTGTTATTGTACTCTTCATCATTGGGTAGAAGTTGGCTTCGGGAAGTTGAAGGTCGTTTCCACTTGAATGCAATTGAGTTTCTTGATAGCCAACTAAGAGGCAGAAAATAACAACACTATCTACGGAGAAAAAGGTAATAAAATAACTTTTTTTAATATTTTTTTCAGTTTTTACACTATGAAAATATTTAGAAGCTCTAACTGCCCAGCAACTGGGATGCTACCAACGTCATGTAGGAGAGCAATCTGAGTTAGAGAATCGCATAATCGTTAGCGCAAGCGACAAAATTCGGATCTTTGCGGTCCGGAAATTGGTGTCGATAAAACTTACACAATTGCACTGCAGGATGATTTTTGGTAACTTTTTTAAAAGAAATTTGCGATTTTTTTTTTTTTTACAAAAGTTGCCGTCTTTGGAGACGCCAAAAAAAGTTCCCCGACTGCTGACATGATTCCGGCCGAATGAGTAGCTAAAAATCAAAAACGTTAATAAAGTATAAGGTACTTTCTATACAATTTCCTACCATTTTGAAAAAGATCCAAAATTGAAAAAAATCGCGTAGTTCTGAAAAAACTTTTCGATTATATAGTAAAAATATGAAACTGGATTTCCGTAGGGATTTACCGGGCTTTTCTTTCTATTTGACTTTCTACTTACAAAAACTGCATAACTATATAATTGGCGCTTTATAATTGGTAATGCGATTTTCAGCCGAGTTCCTCTTCCAATTTTTGGTTTTCGTGTTGATGTTTTTCTTTTCTTTTGGCAATAATTCATGCCCAATTTTAAATAATTTCTAAGAGCTTTCCCAGACCTATGAATTTTTGAAGCAACCTGAATATTAGTTAAGCCGTTTTCTTTATGCGCCGTTACAACAGCTCACATTTGACTTGACAAGTATAGTCCTCTCGGCAGGACTTTAAAGAGTATTAAAAACAAAGCCTAACAATTTATACGATTCCATTAAATTCGCGCAATGCCAGATTTAAGATTTTTCTTAAAAAATGCAGCCACCTATATATCTCTATATCTCTTTATAAACTGACTCTTACCAACTTTTCGGCTAAGCGAAATGCCCACTGAAATTCACACTAATTATCTCTTTTCACTGACAATACTCTAAGTTTGACATGTGCAGACTAATTACAGATAAAAAATAAGTGGTTGCGTGTCCAAAATTTGAAATATTCGCAGCTGACATAAGGTACATTAGCAATTTCCAAAATGACGCTAAATAATTGAACAACTTCACATTCGACTGAGTAAAATACGCGCTCTGTAGTCGTCAAAAAATTAAGAAATATTTCTAAACCGAACACTTACACTTATTTTGTTTGCTTTACTTTATTTCCTAATTCTTCGCTTGCTCGAATATAAGCAGTGGCCTGTGCCATTTTCCTTTTACAATAAATTCTACATTCGTAAATATTTTTTCGATTTCTGCTGTTAAGCTTTTTACTTCATATAAGTTCTCTATTTGATTTGCTACTATAAATAACTCTCTTTTTTAGTGCTATATTATAGTTTAGTGTCATTATTTCTGGCTTCGACTTATTATTTTATGTTCTGCGAAATTCTTTTGTGATCCACGATGTGTATACAGTCCCTTTGTGTGTCACCTGTTTTGCCACAAGTATAACACCATATTTTGGTCTTAAAGGTGCTTATGTTATTCTTTTTTTCAAGCGGCCCTTGATCATGTTCTTTTATTTTATTTTCGATTCTAGGTAACTTGCTTGTAAGGCCTTTATTGAATATCTGATTCGAACGTTTTCACTAAGTGCCTCTTCGTATTCTATAAAAAACCTTCGACTGCTTCGTAGTTTTTCAATTTGTTTTCATCTATTCTCCCTCATATTTGAAGGGCTGCAGACTTTGCCGAGTACATACATTTGTAAACTTTAATTTACTCATGATTTGTAGCCTTGTTCGACACTTAGGGACATATTTCAACTGTTCATTTGATATCGTGATTATTGTTTTAGCTTTTAAGAATTTTCCTAAGTGTTTTAATAAAATTGGTAATTAACCATACAGCATTCTTATTGTATTAATTGTATTCAAAATTTTTTGCATTTCAACAGTCCTCAGTTTCTTCAAACAGTCCTCTAAAAGGTCAAAGATTTATGTAGACATTACATTGCACCAATTTGCCGCTTGAATTTGAATTTTCAGGAAAAATGATGGTTGAAATACGAAAATGAGTTTGAAATTATTCTTCCGTGTATGCCGGCAATATTAACTTATCATTGCTACAGAGTTGCTTCGATTCTGTTAAAATAAAATCCAAACAAGAGCGTACTACCTTTCGAAAGTTCCGGATTCAAATCCTGGTATGACCAGCATCCAAAAATTATAGTATTTCTGACATAAAAATAAGATCCCTTATAAAAAAAAAACGGCAGCCGTTCGGAGCCGGCTTAGTATAAACTTACAAATCCATCAAATAGAGGAGGAGGAGCTCGGCCGAAAATCTCTTCGCAAAGCACCAATTATATTTATATAATACATCGTTTTGTGATTTCGGAAGCTTAAAATTATATTATCATCACTGCGACCGTTGTAGTCGTCGACACTGCTTTTTTAGTAAATCGAAATCGTAATCCAAAATCAACTTGCGTTGTACAAAATATAATAATATCTTCTAATTCTATTCAACAGTATTAACTTCTAATTCATCATTAACTATTTATGGTGGCTCAAAAATGAACTTGGACACCCAAGTTATATGACTTCACACCAAAAAATATATAACAATATGCAAGTCGAGTGATTTCTGTTTAACATATATTTCCATTCTTCAAGTGTATTTTTTAAAACTACCAAAACCATAAACATAAGCTCGGTTGTATAAAAATAATATAAACATAAAATTGTCTTTTATTTCCAACTTTTCCCCATTCGTACTATATTATCTTTTAAAATAATCTTTGCTTGTGACCCATATTAACATTTATAAAACACAAATTTCCAGCTCCAGCAGCGAACATACAACTCTATACCATTACTGAGCCGCCCCTGAGTTTAACAGTCGGACGTAAATTTTTTTAGCAACTCGGACTTAATTATATTAAATTTACTTTTGTCTACAACAAAAATTTGTTTCCAGAATTGTAAGTCTTTATCCCGATGACATTTTGCAAATTTGATCTTTTTGTCTCGGTATCGGCTCCATTTTAATTATTTTTTCGCAAGACTATTCGGATATTCTCCTGATTAAAATTTATATTGAGATGTTGCGAAACTTCTGCTAAGAGCTTGCGAACGCGATTTTTATTGATTTGCTGCACTATGCACCGCTCGTTTGCAGCCGAAAACAGTTTCGATCGTCCAGACTTCCTTTTTGTTTTCCACGGATTTTGTTTTTTTTTTTTTGAACCGTTTGATCACTTCATGCACAGTCGAGAGGGGCCTGCTCAGGGTTTCTGCGATTTTTCCCACTTCATAACGACTGATAATTTACTTCCTTATTTCAATTGAGCTTTATCCACGCTGTCCACCCATGTTTGAACTATTTATTTTTTCCCAAATCATATTTTTAAGCACGAGCAAACTAACTGTGGGATTTCCTTTTTTAAACCAAGATGCCGGATTTCTTTTTTGAAAATTTCTAGCATGTCACATGTCCGTTATCAAAACATTCCGATATGGGACAAACAAACCCTCAAAAAGTAAAATTGTGTGGAATTGCTTGAAATTTGAATCAACTGTGTGGACGGAATTACGACTCTCGATCATCACCAATAAAGGAAGAAGAATATATTTTCGACGGACTACAAGACAACACCGACGTATTAACTATGAAACAAGTAAAATCTTTACTCCCGAGTTATCTATCCTAAAAGCCATCAAATAAAAATCTGGAAACTACAAGATATTTCAGCTATTCCCGTTACGGACATTTCGCTAAAGACTACGGACATCAACGTCAAGAAACCGAATCCTGTCTCAAATGTGACAGAATAGATCGCGTGTGCAAAAGCTATCCAGCAAAAACAGTAACCACAATTGACGCAAACGTGAAACAACTAAAATTCCGTGAAGCTGTAAGTATTGCTTTCACTGTAAACTACATTATCATTCCTTTATTGTTTCTTAACTCAACACAGGGAGTCCAAATAGTTTTATATGAACTACAAATGCTAAGAATAAAAAACTATTAAGAAGGGATTTTTTTAAATGCAACATAAACTTACGATGGTAAACCAATTTGAAATGTCATAAGTTAATTATTATAGTTGACTCAATTGCGTATATATCCGGTCAGATCAGAAGGACATTAATGAAATTAAGAACAGTTTAAATCTTTTCTAATAAAAGTATATCAGACAAAAGTGGATAATGTCTCCTTTAAAAACTTGCAATCGTAACAGTATGGAAAAAAAAAATTAAATAAGCCCAAGCAAAATACAAAATCCGTCTTTCAATCTTATGAAAAAGAAGATATGCAGTGGCTCACAGCCATGTGATGCAGCTTTGTAAGAAATAGTATAATAAGTTCCATTTAAAAATTAAATACATTTTCCAAAAAACTATTAGCTTGGATACACTTTCCAAAGAATATCAGCGCATCATTAACTTAAAATTCGACACCGCTTTTGTAGCAAACAAATCATACGAAAGTCATGAGAACCAACTGCAAGCATACAAGCTTAAAAAGGGCAAGCTGAAAACACCTTGTTGGTTTTGTTGAGCAATCCACTATGTACGTAAATGTGCATACAAAGATCATATGTGCGAAGACTGTCACAACAAAGGCCATAAAGAAGGATTGAAAAAAACAACAATTCATACACAAGCAAATCGAAGGCACACACGCAACTACAAACAGTATTATACTACTAATAGCATTACAACTTCACATCGTAAATATGTCAACGTAAAGACGTCTGCGCAAATCAAATTGCAATTAGATACTACGTCGGATATAACCCTAACTTCAAGAAAAAATTTCGACGAATTGAAGATTTCAAGCACCATGAAAGTCACTCGTTCCGCAAAAAGAGCAACTGCAAATTAACCATTATACAACCAATTTACAAGTGCAGTGCAACTAAAAGACACAACTAAAATACCAACGTGCTTCGTCACAACGATTGATTTGAACATATTTGGACTGGAGTGGATAA